AAAAAAAAAAAAGAATATCTTTGTAGTACTGTTGGAATTGAAAAAGTGCAGAGGTAGCCAGTAGTTCATCAGTAATTGAGTAAATAAACTGTGCCTTACTCATGTAATGGGCATAATAAACAATTAATAGACCCTTGCAAGGGGGTTGTAGCTTATTGATAGGGTACTAGCTTATTATAGACAAGGCTCTAGGTTTGATCTCTAATATCACTAAAAATATTCATAATAAAAAGGAGCCTAGCGCTGGTGGCTCACGCCTGTAATCCTAGCTACTCAGGAGGCTGAGACCTGAAGATCGCAGTTCAAAGCCAGCCTGGGCAGGAAAGTCTGTGAGACTCTTATCTCCAATAAACCACTAGAAAACCGGAAGTGGCACTGTGGCTCAAGCGGTAGAGCACTAGCCTTGAGCTGAAGAGGGCAAGGACAGCGCCCAAGCCCAGAGTTCAAGCCCACGACCGAAAAAAAAAAAAAAAAAAGCCAGCCTGGACAGGAAAGTCCCTGAGACTCATCTCCAATTAACCACCAGAAAACTGGAAGTGGTGCTGTGGCTCAAATGGTAGAGCGCTCACCTTGAGCTGAAGAGCTGAGGGACAGCGACCAGGCCCAGGGTTCAAGCCCCAGGACCAACAAAAAACAAAACAAAAACAACAGCAGTAGGACAAATTTGGGCCCAAGTTTGTTCATCTTTAGTCCAGTCTAGGTGGGTGTATATACAATTATGGAGAGAGGGAGTTCTTGCTATGGATTTATTTTTTATTTTATTTTAGTCAGTCATGTGGCTTGAACTCTGCGCCTGGGCGCTGTCCCTCAACTCTTCAGCTCAAGGCGAGCGCTCTACCACTTGAGCTACAGCACCACTTCAGGTTTTCTGGTGGTTCATTGGAGATAAGAGTTTCACGGACTTTCCTGCCCAGGCTGGCTTTGAACCGCAATCCTCAGATCTCAGCCTCCTGAGTAGCTAGGGTTACAGGCATGAGCCATTGGCGCCCGGCTGTTATGGATTTAATCTAGGGCTGCACACATGTTAAGCATGTATTCTACCACTGAACTATATCTCCAGTTCCTATATATGCAATTTGCATATGATCTGCATATACTGGCATAGCCAGCAATGTGTTGTCAGATTAAAAAGATACTACTGAAACCTTTACTAATAGGTATTTTTCTGGGTTCTATTTTGTGCAACAAACTTGGCACACCTATAAATATTCCACAGACATTTATCAAAGGTCATTGGAATCTTACTGCAATGTACTTCTAGAGTCTTTAGGCCTTTTCAATCAACCCAAAGCTAGTGGCTTTCCCAATGAAAGCCTGTAAGAAAAATAAAGCTATACAGAAACAGAAACTGATTTTTCTATTCAACTTTAGTTTCTTTTCTGCTTGCATTACTAATCTGCAGTGAAAAAAACAGTAAAGAGGAAATAAACTGCTTTTAGCAAAAGCAGTCTGACTAATTCACAAATCCCTTCCAGTCCCACAATGATAAGAATTCTCTACAAATTATAAGAATCACATGGTGGACAGTAGATTCCCCACAGCAGCATTTGCCTATTCAAAAGCCCAGGCTTCCATACTTCACCTGTCTGTCCAACACAAAGCAAGAGAAGGATAGCTTCCTACTAAGAACAGAGATGGGACACCAAAGTCCAAGTCTACTGGACGTACCTGCAGTTGGAGGCTCAGGGCGTTGTGCCTCACAGCTGTAACATGGAGAGCGTGATTCACATAGGCTTGTCTTAGTTGCTGCTTCCACTTGCTCCACCATACCCTAAAAGACCAAATCAGAGATGGAATCAGTCAGGAAAAAGCTACCCAGAACAGAGAAGGGCAGTTTAGGTGCTATGGCTCGAATCCCCAGCTCAAGTTTTCTCTCACACAGTGCCATCTCTAGACTGATACTACTAGATCCACTGATAAAACAAGAACCAACAATCAAGCTAAGAGCTGGTAGCTCACACCTGTAATCCTAGCTATGAAAAAGTCTGAGATCTAAGGTTCGAGATTCAAAGCCAGCTCAGGCAAAAAAAAGTCTGTGAAACTCTAATCTCCAATTAGCCACCAAAAAGCCAAAAGTGGAGCTATGGTTCAAGTGGTAGAGTACAAAAAAGCTAAAGAATAACACCCAGGCCAATTTCAAGCCCCAGTATCACAACAACAATAATAACAGAAACCAATTATCAATAAACAGTTCAGTCTAGAAACTAGTGGTTCAGGCCTGTAACCTGAGTTACTCAGACTCAAACCTGGAGGAGTTACTGTTCAAAGCCAGCCAAATCATAGACAAATCATAGACCCTGATCTCCAATTAACTTACAAAAAGTCAAAAGAGAAGGCATGGCTCAAGTTGGAGAGTTCTTAGACTCTGAGTTCAAGCCCCAGGACCAGCAAAACTAAAAAATCCTTGATGGCTCCAGGGATACAATACTAGCCTAGTAAGTGTGAGGCTCTGGGTTCAATCCCAAAAAACAAAACAAACCATTGTTTTAACTTTTTTTTTTTTGGTCATGGGCTTGAACTCTGGGCTTGGGCGCTGTCCCTGCGCTCTTCAGCTCAAGGCAAGCGCTCTACCGCTTGAGCCACAATGCCACTTCCAGTTTTCTAGTGATTTATTGGAGATAAGAGTCTCACGGACTTTCCTGCCCAGGCTGTCTTTGAATCATGATCCTCAGAGCTCAGCCTCCTGAGTAGCTAGGATTACAGGCATGAGTCACTAGCGCCGGGCTAACCCATTGTTTTAAAATGGTTTCAAGGTAGAAAGGTAAAAAGATGACTTCCAGTCTGTGGGACAATATAGCACACTCACCATAAAATGCTCCGCTGCCTAAACTCCAAAGCAGTAGTGTGCATGTGAAATTTGGTTCTACGAACAAACACGTAGATCAACCAGGACTTCCAGGACTTTTGTAGCTTTAGCTTTACATCTAGAGACACCAAAGAGATATTTTGAAGAGAATGAAAGGAGATGAATTAATCTGGGAAACAATATAAATTCAAGCCCTCTCTGAACTAACTAATCATACCTTTTAGTAAGTACATCTTTCCAGCCTTCAAGTGCCCCCTGCTGGAAATGAGATGAAGCATTACAAAACTAAGAAGGATCCAAGTGTACATGGGAATAATACAAAAAAGGCATTTATAAAGCATTTAAGGGAAAATCATTCTGTTGAACTTTCTAGAAATCTTTTACATCAAAATTTCTTATTTTTGGCCTGGCATCAGTGGCTCATGCCTATAATCCTAGCTACTCAGGAGGCTGAGATTTAAGGATTGTGGTTTGAAGCCAACCCAGACAGTAAAGTCCATGAGATTCTTACCTACAATTAACCACCAAAAGCAAGAAGTAAAGCTGTGGATCAAGGAAAGAATGCTAGCTTTGAGCAAAAAAGTTCAGGAACAGAACATAGGCCCTGGGTTCAAGACCAAAGACCAGCACACACACAAAAAATCCCAACACCCCTCTATACAGTATTTTCACAATAAAAAAAAAGAAAAGAAAAAAATTCCAATAGTGATGGGACACACTTGTAATCCCAGCTTCTTGGGAGGATAAACCTTGATGAGGTTCAAGGATAGACTTAGGTTGGTATTGTAAGACTGTAAAAAAATAAATGAAAAGGGCTGGGAAGGTGGCTCAGTGGTAGAGCACTTGCCTTGCATGCATGAGACCCTGGGTTCGATTCCTCAGCACCATATAAGAAAAAAGAAAAAAGCCAGAAGTGGCGCTGTGGCTCAAGGGGTAGAGCGCTAGCCTTGAGCTGAAGAGCTGAGGGACAGCGCCCAGGCCCAGAGTTCAGGCCCCACGACTGGACCCAAAAAAAAAAAAAGAAAAGAAAAGAAAAGCCAAAAGGTCTGTATATATGACTCAAGTGGTAGAAAGTTTATCTAGTAATTATGAGACCCTGAACTCAATCCTCAGTACTGCAAAATAAAGAAATAAAGCCACTTGGATTTTTTTTGGGGGGAGTCCAGTCATGGGGTCTGAACTCTGGGCCTGGGCGCTGTCCCTCAGCTCTTCAGCTCAAGACTAGCGTTCTACCTCTTGAGCCACAGTGCCACTTCCGGCTTTTTTCTTTTTGCTTATGTGGTGCTGAGGAATCAAACTCAGGGCCTCAGGCATGCAAGGCAAGCGCTCTACTGAGCCATCTTCCTTCCCAACCCTGCCACTTGGATTTTTTTAGGAGATATACTGCTTTTTGTTTTGTTTTTGTTGGTCGTGGGGCTTGAACTCTGGGCTTGGGCGCTGTCCCTGCGCTTTCAGCTCAAGGCAAGCGCTCTACCACTTGAGCCATAGCGCCACTTCGGGCTGAGATATACTGCTTTGTCCAGAAATAATATTCATAAAGAGGCAGCAAAGAAGAGAGAATAGGAATGTGACAAGACTGGCAGAAAATGATAATCACTGAAGCTGTGTGATTAGTATATGAAGATTTGTCATTCTATCATTCAGTTTAGTTGATATTTCATTTTTCCATATTATAAAGTTAAATAAAAAGAAATCACGCCATAAAACTGGTTGTTTGAGGGGCTGGGAAGGTGGCTAAGTGGTAGAGTGCTTGCCTTGCACGCATGAGGCCCTGGGTTCGATTTCTCAGCACCACATAAGCTGGAAATGGCGCTGTGGCTTAGTTGTACAGCGCTAGCCTTGAGCTGAAGAGCTGATAGCACCAGGACCAGAGTTCAGGCCCCATGA